TCAGTTTTGGAAGGAAACATTTGTAGATTGAGAAATTACTCAGTTCAATGATGTCCACATATATATGTTGGTTGTTCATCCAATTCATTTCTGAGGGAAAACTGGCACTCCTTTACTGGCAATAACTGTTAGTTTCACCCATATACCCATCTCTTTTGAGTGATACATGTAATTATTTTGCTAGAACTCTCTCACTAGGTTCCAAGGCCATTCTTTTGATAATTTATGATTTGTACATATTAAACATTCCATTGCCCATCAACAGATGAAACATGGTTTTCCTAGTCACATCATCAGAAAAAGCATAAAAGATAGATAAGAGAAAAATGTTAACCTGACAGGAAGTATGAGTTGTTTATCACAAATGTCCATTATCATGTAACAGTTTCCACCACTGTATACTTTTCCATTTTTGATTATGAATAACTTGAAGGTGCTGATACAATAGCAGTATAATGTTACATTAGAAATTGAACACAAAGCCTCATCTCTCTTTCCATTCTATCCTATGCATGTTAACTGGGAAATAAGTTTAACTGCTGCTCAATGGAGCTTATTTCCAGATAAGCACATAAAGGGCCAAAGCCATACAGCACAATCCAAAGTAAGTCTACTCAGAAGTTAAATGAGACTTCCTCCCAGGTAAGTGTGTATAAGGATTGCAGCCTCTGTCTTTCAGCTTTTGCAGTGGGGGTAGGAAGGAAACCTGTGGCCCCCTATACACTGTTGGACTCACATCAACCCCAGCCAACATGGCTAATGTCAGAAATAATGGAGGATGCAGGCTCCCCATCCCTGTACTACACAGTCCAGTATTCCATTCTTCTAATGTTTGACAAATATGCTACAAAATAAAAAAATCCATTGTTCTCAAGAATAATTCACTGACAAAAAAAAAAACCAACTAACACTGAAACTATACTTCTAACGTCTCCAAAATGACTGTATAGGTGGGAAATAATCTGAAATGATGAAATTATCATACAGCATACTATGTGAGGGATATGAACAAAGGATGACCACATTACGATGTGCTGACTGAACACGCAGATACATAGTAACTTGTTTCAGACAGAATGCTAAACTATTATTTGTTTAGCTTAATTCTGACTTGTTTGTACATTCAAACCCAACTAAGCTCACCAACTATTATCTGAAACCATGGTCGGAAGGTAACTTGCGTATTTCACTATGAACATGGATTCTAGGAACATGCTTCCTACCATCAATACGTGGGGGAGGGGGGGGGACTTAACAAAGCTATAGTTAAATAACCAAACTTTTATCAGACTAGTGTCTGATCAATCCATGGCCCCATCCAGAGAACTCTGCAACTAACTTTTCTAAATTGTAGCTACCTGCACAAACTTGCAACACAGGCTCCTCCTACACATGTACTATTGAGTCCATCCTACAAGTAAAAAAGTTTTTATCTTAATTCTGAAATCAAATTTTCTACAGTATGCCCCGGAATATCAGTAGCTGGACATGACAAAAAGAGAGCGTTGTCACACTTAGGTCCTGTTTATGGGCTTCTCACAGACATCTGGTTGGCCAGTGTGAACAGAATTCTGGACGAGATGGACCTTTGGCCTGATTCAGCAGGGCTGTTCTTATATTCTTTCAATGAAAGTCTCAGGGGGAACCTCTGCACAGCTCTTTGTGCCATAGGCCACAAGGAACACTGTATTCCCCCACCCCACCCCTTCCCACAGAATCAGGAAATACACAAACAAACAGGCAATTCTACCAGCAAAATCAATTTACTGTACTGATTCTATTAGCACAGGCCATTCACATGGGCAGAAACAATAGGGATTGAAGGGTGGGAATAATGTCCTGCTAGAATGGCCTTTGCTCCTTGCTAATTCCCTGTATACATCTCTCTACCTGCTATTATCCCTTGCAACTCTAATTCTTATACAATTATTTCACCACACTAGAACTTCTGCATGCATGTAAACCCATTCATTGCAAGAATGATTTCTACAGGATGAGAGTGACGTTCAAGAAAAGTTTAGTTACACCTGATTTTTTGTCATAGCCCTGTAACTACTTGCCAAAGAGTGCCAATTGAGGCTCCTTAAGAGGAAATGGCCACAATGCAAATGCACATGTATAAGCATTTAAGCCCCATGGAAATTAAGGGTTTGATTTCACAGAAGCTCTATACTGGAACATGGTCAACTATTTCAAAACATAGTATGATATTGGCTGAAAACATATAGTTCTATAATTCTTATTAAAGATCTTTGCAAGCAAGAAAACAGCTTTCCTGGCCTATCTCCTGCTTTAAAGTAATTCATTTTGAATGTACACTTAGGGAGTGTAAAGGTACAATTAGAGGTTTTATTCTGCTATATATTAACTCCCAAAGGGACTACAATGGTTTCAGCAGAGCCTGCTGAAGATTATTGACTTCTTCCACCAAAAGTCAATAATCCTGCCAAGACAGGATTAAGCACTCAAAGTGCTTAGAATATATTTTCTCAGTAATCTTTACAATAGCCTTGTAAAGTCATATAATCATATTGCAGGAAGGGGGCTAAGAGATAGTGACTTGTATAGGACTACATATTAAGTTAGTTGGTGAAATTTGCACCCATTACTTCAGATCCTGCGTTAATACAACCTTTCTGTGGAATTATCTGGCCTATCAGCAGAGGAGATGGGGATGAGGAATGCATTGCTTATCCTTTCCTGAAATTCAGAAGTGCACAGTGGCATTAGTACAGACTGTTGCAGCTGGCCAGCCAGGATCCACATCTGAGACATCTTCAAGGACAAATTATATATTATATTTTTTGCTGTAAATCTAAAATTCTTTAAGGGTACATATAATGTAATATGTGAAAAAGACAACCCCTTGTTTAAAACCATGTTTCATAGTACTGTACACTAATCAAAGAGCCATGCAGAATTGGCTACAGCTCCCTAGAGAGTATACACTTTGTTGTGAACAATGGGGAGTCCTGTGACACTTTAAAGACCAACAGGTTTATTATGACATAAGCTTTTGTGGCCCAGAACTTATTTCATCAATTGCCATTCTCAGCTAGCACACATACATACCGTATTTTTCGCTCTATAAGACGCACCAGACCACAAGACGCACCTAGTTTTTGGAGGAGGAAAACAAGAAAAAAAATATTCTGAATGCCAGAAGCCAGAACAGCAAGAGGGGTCTCTGCGCAGTGAAAGCAGCAATCCCTCTCGCTGTTCTGGCTTCTGGGATAGCTGCGCAGCCTGCATTCGCTCCATAAGACGCACACACATTTCCCCTTACTTTTTGGAACGGAAAAAGTGAGTCTTATAGAGCAAAAAATACCATATATACAGGTGTAAAGAAAAAAAAGAGTAAACAATAGGACCATTAAATGCCAGAGGTACAATCTGTGACATGTATACTTTTGAGCTCTGCAGTTTGGCCCCACTGTTTACATTTTTTCTGTACACCTCTGCACTAGTCAGATCCCATCTGAAGAACTGTATTCAGTCCTGGACATTGCACTGGAGAAAACAACTCCTGTGAGGAAAGGTTGAAGAAACTGGATATGTTGAGCCTAAAAAAGAGAAGCTGGAGGGAGAAAATGATAGCACTTTTCAAATACTTAAAAGGCTGTCATGTAAAAGAGGACAAAGACTTGTTCTCTGCTCTTCAGAAGGAGTAGTTCTAATGGGCTTAAGTTACAGAAGGATAGATTTCAATTATCCATTAGGAGAAACTTCTTAATGGTAAAAGTAGTCGGATAATGGAACTAATTACATAGAGGAGCGGGCAGCTCTCCTCACTGGAGATCTTCAAGACTGGATTGCCCTCTGATTGGGATGCTCTAACTCTGGATTTCCTACAGCGAACAGCAATTTGGTCTAGAGGGCATGTAAGACTCCCCTCCTAACAGCCCTGTGGCTGTTTGTGCCATATATGCATTATTATCCGTGCAAGTAGGAGGAGATGGAGCACTGCTCAGCGAAAGCACAAGTGCTGCGTGTAGAAGGCCCCAGGTTTCAATTCAAGATCAACAGACAGTATAATCTGACCAGGAATATAGGCAGCTTCCTGGGGTCACAGTTTGCAACAGTTCCATACCACAGGAATAGACAGGAATAAGACACTCCCCCCCCCCCACATAATAGTTTTCTCTCCATATTTTTTTACACATCAGGCAAATACAGGGGGGTGGGGTGGAGGTAAACAAAACCTCCTGTCACAATAAGTCTTTGAAGATGCCACCGGACATTTGCTGTTGCCTGACTGTGAAACATTAGACATCTCTCAACTTTAAATGAACAAAAACAACCTCCGGGGACTCCAATGGGACTTACTCGCAGGTAAGCAAGGGTAAGCCTAACACAGCCACCCATCAAGACCTTTGTTTTTGTTTTTTGGTGGGAGTGGGGTGGGGAGGCGGAGGTGGTGGGGAGGGGAGAGAGGGGAAACCTCACCCACCCACCCAAGCACAAAGCAGAAATTATGGGATGGGGAAGAAGGAAGATGCGGCGGGTGGCGGGGGGGGGTGGTGGCGAGCGGAGAGGAAAGACAACTTGGCATCCTCTTCAAACTTCCCCACAGGACTTGGGGAGCGCGGCAGCCACAGAGTTAAATGAGGGGCAGTTTCCGAGTCCCGGGTCGAGGTGGGGGGTTGAATGGGAGCCCCCACTCCGTCGCTTGCTCATTTACCTACCGACTCACTCCGATTTTGGGGGTGGGTGTTGAGCGCACCCCCCCTTCCTCCTCCTCCTCACTTTCTTCTCAAAATGGCGGGAGGAAGCGCCGCCTAACGGTGTGTGCAGCGCACGCGAAGCGGCGACGGGGACGACGGGGACGACGACAAAAGACGAGGGCCCCCCGCCCCCCATGCACAAAGTAATCCTCTTTTCCTCCCGTCCCATTCCACCCCCCCCAAACTGAATTCGAAGTACAAAGAGGGGTTGAGAGCCTCCGCTCTTTCCTTCCTGGCCGACACCCCCCGCACTCCCCATCTTTTTTCCCTACTCACCTCCTCCCCTCGCTGGACTCTTCTCCTTTAAACTCCCACAACAATTCTTCACCCGCCCCCCCCTCCCTCCACTCTTCCCTTACCGGAGCGGTGCTCGGAGCGGCCAAGGCGCATGCGCGTAATAACTGGGGCGGCGCGGGCCGTTCCGGCCGGTTTGTGAGGGAACCCGAGGGATTGAGGCCCGGAGTGGAGGCGGCGGGGCGCGCGCGAGCGAGAGGATGAGGGTGGGAGGGGCGCGAGGTTCAGGCGGGAGCGCGCGCATCGGCCGGCTCCTGGGGGGCGGCAGGGGGATGTTTTTGGCAGGCGACTTGGGAGGGGAGTTTTTTTGCGTGACACAAGTTGCCCCCCCCCACAACCTGAATCTTGTGGGCATGGGGATTCTGGCCCATAGGATGTTGCTGACCTACATCTCCCATCCTTCCTGCCCCATGGTCGTGCTGGCTGCGGCTCATGGGAGAGGGTGTGTGTGTGTCCCACACAGGGGTGGCTCGTCCTGTTTGGCCACCTGAGGCAAAACGGGAAGGTGCCATCGCCCTGTCCTGCCTAAGCCGTGCTTACTGAGGTCATGAGGTGGCAGCTTCCAGGGGAGGTCTGGCAGAGATCTGGTGAGATCTCGTGCAAGCTACATGAGATCTTGCAAGAGATCAGGAGTGCCGGCTTGGCCCCACGACCGTGGGTGCCCGGGGTCATGGGTGCCATGCAGCGTGCATGGCCCTGGCACTGAAATTGTGAGTGCCCAGCCCCTTCATGGGGGATTTTGTGAGTTCTCACGCACCCAAGGAATGGGCATTGATGCAAGAGATCCGCAAGATCTCACAGGAAGCCGCCTCTGTGTGACCCCAGCCCATTGGATTCTGCCGCCTGAAGCAGCTGCTTCGTGAGCAGGCTGGCTCTGGTTGCAGGTTCGACATCCCTGCTTTCAAGAACAGCAGCTCCTTTTTCAGTTTTTTAATGTGGCAACAGGATTGGTTTAGACCTCTTTCCCCTGGTATCATATCCACATGCATGTCATACAGTTACGCTTGTGAGTTCTGATGTATTACTTGTCTTTTAAAAGGGTTGGGATTTGATAATGAAGAAAATAACTTGCAGGGTTTATGTGTTCGCATCCAACACCCCTTACTGAATTTGCACCCAAGGCTGTTTTTGCATCTACAGCAGCTTTTATGATTCAATAAGTCTTGTCATGCGGTCATGATTGTCTTGCCACTTTTAATGCATGGTATTTTTGTTATCTTGCCATTTGTTCATGTTGTTTACCTCCATAATTGGGAACACTTTATTGCTCAGTTATGTCTGAATGCTAAAACAATAACAATATTTTCCCCCAATAAAAAGATTTTTCTCCCATTGGAGTTGTAAGACACATCTATAATGCAGGGAAAAATAAAGCCTCAAGCAGGCCTGAAACTGTTACAATTTAAATGAAAATGGGATCGAAGGAAGATGATACGTGAGAAGCTAAATGGCTCACATGAAGAACATGTTAAACTAGCCTTGATTGCTAGAGTAAGATACTTTTAAAACCTGCTATTAAAATTCACTAAACGGGAGCACATATTTTGCCTAATCTGCATATCTGATTTGATGTTAGAATCATAATTCTGCTGATGGTTAGGCAGCATGCTGGTACATTTTAGTTGCAATCCTATACATGGGGGAAAATCCCATCAAATTTAATAGCAATTACTGGCAAGTAAATGACTAAACAACAACAACAACGACAAAACATGCATAGCACCGCACTGGTGTAACTCATACTACACACAGACACACACATCTGCATGCGCGCGCACACATGTTTATGGTGTCTTCTGCTCTTAAGGCTGCAATCCTGTATCTGTTTATCTGGGGTCTGTGGGATTGCTCTGTAACATTTATTAATTTAAATATACCCACAATGGATTTATTAGCGGCAGTTATCATCAGTGTCCTTCAGTCAAGTTCATCAAACTGAGTTAGTCTTATCCATGTCAAAGTTGCTAATTTGTCATTGAACCAGACAGAGATCTCACCAATGTAGGGCAGTTTATACCATTTTCCTGTTTGTGTGTGTTTTGTTGGTTTGTGCCACTTCCCACCACAGGGCTCTTGAGTCAGATGAAAACAAAAGCATGTGGTTCATACCTGGCCAACGACATTGTGGTTGGGCACATGCGGAGATCACAATCACCACTTCCTTCTTCATTCACCTGTGTGCAGGCATGGATAACATAATAAAGAGAAGGGATTTCAAGTGTGTATCAAGTAACCACACCCACCCCTGTGGACAGCAGGATCTAGAATCAATCTAGATTGAAAGCAGTATGTTGAGGACTAGCGCGAATGATTGCAGATTGAGAAAACCTTCATTTTTGTGCTACCAACAGGTCAGTGTATAAACAGTCCGAGTCAAACCATTGGTCCATCCAGCTCAGTATTGTCTACACTGACTGGTAGTGGCTCTCCAGGATTTAAGATAGGTTCTCCCCCAGCCCTACCTGGAGATGCTCCCTACCTGGAGATAGGACTGTGACCTGCATTTACAGCAGATGCTCTACCACTGAATTATGGCCCTTCCCCATATTCCATCCTGCCTGCTCCACAGAACCACTTAGCTGCATTTTCCTGTACTAGATAACCCTTAGGGGTCCCTTCCAACTCTATGATTCTGTGGTTCAGACCTTCAGATTATGGTCAGTACAATCCTTCTAACCAGGTTTGTAAAGCCATTTCAAAGTACGTAACAGCGGCCATGCTAATGAGGAAGTTCACAACGTGTGGAACTTTGGCATAGCTTTGATAGGTTTTCAAAGTGGTTTATGTTAATACAATACGAAAAATTTAATTTGGGTGGTGTGTGTGTGTGTGTGTGTGTGTGTGTGTGTGTGCTGTAATGATTTTGTCCAAAATAGCCCATTCTAGATCTTCTGGAAAGTGACAGCTTTATGGATAGTACAAAGCAATGTGCTTGCTGAGGTTTTATACAGTGGTGTAGCAACAATGTCATAACGGCTGTTCGAAATAATTGCTCACATATGTCTTCAGGCTTCATCTTTTTAAAGCTGTGGCGTGGTGATAAGAGTTTAGCATAATGCATCCAATTTGATGGACAAGTCGGTGTCGCTCACCTCAGCTGGTGCTACCGCAAAAAACCTTTACTTTGGTGTCACTGAATTAAAAGAAGCAGCTTCCTTTTAGAGTCCAAACTTCTGTTTGCCCATTTCTCCCCCAGCCAATTGATTCCCAAATGAGCCCTGTTTTGATTGGAGTGACCGGAGCTGATCTTCCTTTATCTTTTGTGCTGAAAGTGAAAGGATCGATTGTAACTGAAATAGTACAACAGGCTTGCCATGAGTATATCTAGTATGCATAATCTACCGAAGTCTGTCAGATAATTTAGCATTCCTGTTGCTTTCCAGTTTGTACAGCTGCAGATAGATTGTATTTGTTTATATGTTTTGAAAGATTTCTATCCTGCCTTTTTGTCCCGTTATGAGACAATCAAGGAGGGTATTTTTTTGGGCAGGGGGGACATGGAAGAAGATACAAGATGGGTAGGGATATAATACTCAAGTATACACTTCTATCTTTAAATGTTTCAATGGCAGACATCACAGTTCTTCAGCAACATTCTCCAAGCTAATCTAATATATATTTATTTATGTAAGCTGTTCCGGGAGCCTTTCCAGCTGAAGAGCAGGATAAAAATGCTTTCAATAAAATTACTGAATAGACAACAAGAAATGCATGTATTTATTATGATTTGTATACAGTGCAGTGCTAAGTAACTGTCCTATTAGTGCAACAGGACTTATTCCTGCAACAGGACTTATTCCTGCACCCTCCCCTTCCCCAAATCTGCTCCAAATGTTTGGGGGGAACCTCAGAACAAATATAGGGGCACACAGGGGGAGGAGAGGGGGGAATGTCCCATCTCACACACACTTAAATTATTGCGATGACAAGATGTACTTAACACTGCATTGGATACAAGTCACAGTATATATGTATGCATAGCCCAGTTTCTACAAGGAATCAAGATGGATATACAGTTGTACCTCTGGTTACATACGCTTCAGGTTACATATGCTTCAGGTTACAGACTCCGCTAACCCAGAAATAGTGCTTCAGGTTAAGAACTGTGCTTCAGGATGAGAACAGAAATTATGCTCTGGTGGCGCGGCAGCAGCAGGAGGCCCCATTAGCTAAAGTGGTGCTTCAGGTTAAGAACAGTTTCAGGTTAAGTACGGACCTCCGGAACGAATTAAGTACTTAACCCGTGGTACCACTGTAAAAGAATACCACGATATGTTACAATGAAACAACATAATAAAACAGCAAAATACACCAGAATCTATATAGAACAAATCAAATGCCAGTCAAACCCTCAAACTGCCTAAAAGGTTGATATGAACATATATGCTAAAGGAGGGAATTTAGGTGCCACTACTGGAAAGGACTTCTATTCATGTTCCCACCAATCTAACCCTGGGCATGGGGTGCACCTAGAGAAGGATCTCCCATTAATTGCAGGAAGGTTCATGTGAATGTTATGGCACAGTCCTGGAAAATAATCACGATTTTTAGAGAGATGTGTCTCATTTCATGGTAATTGTGATTTAGAGACCCTTTGATTTTATAATGATTTAGGGATGCCTGGTGTGCTGTGTAAGTTAGGCAGAATCTAAGAATGAGGACTATTCAGCACCAGAACACAATATGCACAGTTAGGGCCATCAAACACTGCAAATTTGATTCAATATATAATTGCGCACAAAAAAAGTAACAAAGTAAACCATCTTCTATACACAATGATAAAATGCAAGGTATATTAAAAGACAGAAGTGAATACAACAGGCAAACTATTTCAGATTATTCAAATGAGGCAAACTACTCTTTCAGTTGCTCAACAGCAAGATAAAACAGCTTCTGAACACAGTGACAAATTACAGCATGTATTGAAAGACAAATGAAAACACACTCTCCCAGACAAGCAAGCTTTCAGTTGGTTGCAATATATTTGGCAACTGAAAGTTTTGTTTATCTGCAACAGGTTGTTAAGTCACTTTTCTTGTGCCTTTCAATATCCTGTCATGCACATCTTAATCT